AACCGCATAAACACATTTCATTACACCAAATACACCAAATAATGTTCTTTTTAGCAACATCATATGACCCTTTAAGACCTCATTCACATTCATTGTATGGACCAAAAAAAAAAACAAAAAAAAAGTAGTGAGACATTTTTCAAAATATCTTCTTTTGTGTTCCACTTGAGAAATAAACAAATAAAGGTTTGGAACAACTTGATTTACATTTTTGGTTGAACTATTTGATTCTTGACAGCATATGTGGCATAATATTGACTCATGCCACTCTTTGGAAAAATTAATTGGAAAAAAAAGTGTACAATAACATACAGTGGGTACGGAAAGTATTCAGACCCCCTTAAATTTTTCACTCTTTGTTATATTGCAGCCATGAGAGGATCTGCAAGGAGGAATGGCAGAGGATCCCCAAATCCAGGTGTGAAAAACTTGTTGCATCTTTCCCAAAAAGACTCATGGCTGTATTAGATCAAAAGGGTGCTTCTACTAAATACTGAGCAAAGGGTCTGAATACTTAGGACCATGTGATATTTCAGTTTTTCTTTTTTAATAAATCTGCAAAAATGTCAACGATTCTGTGTTTTTCTGTCAATATGGGGTGCTGTGTGTACATTAATGAGGAAAAAAAATTAACTTAAATGATTTTAGCAAATGGCTGCAATATAACAAAGAGTGAAAAATTTAAGGGGGTCTGAATACTTTCCGTACCCACTGTACACTTCATTTCATTTGATTAGGTTGTTCGAGGAATATAGTCAAATAGCTTTAACACTCATGAAAAAGAAATGGCGTGGACTTTCTTTATGCTCATTTTGTTGTAGCACCCTGCAGCTTTACTACAGGTTCTGTACTTTTACCCCTCATTTTGGCACAAGATTACAGGTCATTCTCAACTCCCGGTTACATTACATTTACTGTAAGTCTTTAAAGACTTTATAGATGTTGAGTTATTCATTTCTTTTGTCAGGATTTTGGTACTATAATAGTATGTTGCCTGAACATTCCTGGATTTAAAGAAATAGTAACATTTGGTTCCAACTCATGGATATGCGTATGGCTAATTCTGGGTAATTAGTGTTAATGCACTGTGACTGTTGATGCTGGTTTGCTACAGCTGACTGCACACAGTAAATGGGACATGAATGGCATGGGTTCAGTAGCATGAATTTAAATGAGTTGAAGATTCCTTAAGGACATTTGGTTAAGTGCATATGAATGAAGTTGCTCTTGGTCCGTCGGAGGTGAATGGACAACCAGAAACCCACACTGTGATACCTGAGTTTAGAAGCAACAAACTTCTGTAATGAAGATAAACACTTTCTTTAAGCATACCCAGGTCACACTTCACAGAATAGTTAGCATTCAGAGTTAAGTCCGGTCTGAACAGGAGGTGTGTGAGAATGTTAAGGGTGTGTGTTTTGTAGCTTTAAAACTCCAACCAAGTCTTAAAGTAGATTATGAGCTTTCAGCCGTACCTGCAGCGGGTTAACAGATTCAGTTCCCATTCAGATCTCACTATCTGGCTGTGATCATTACGCTGATAGCAAACACAATGACTCAAGATTGAACATGCTGGGACGTAAAATAATTTAATCCGGACTTTGTGAAGATGAACTAGTGCACACAGGCTACGTGGTTTGGATTTTATGACAGACTATGTCTTTGGAGTCAGGTCTCTGTCTCCCTCAGTCCTGAGGTAGATGGGGACTCTTTGAGTCTATCAGGACAGCTTGCAAGCGATTAGTGCATAGAGGGGCTAGGGAAGTGATCAATGGGAGACCCCTCTGCTGAGGAAGGTGAGCTTGAATTTACTAGATGAGCATGGAAAGATAAGACATTACTGACTTAATGTGTTAATAATTAAGTAACAGATTTATTGATGCATTTGATATTCTATACTAGTTTAACTATCAGGTGATCTGATCAAGTTTTATATGTTGACAATGACCTGTCGACTTAATGAATACTTCTGAAACTTTTATGTGCTAGTCAGAAGGTTGAGTGTAGATTCTACCAAGGGTTAAGGGCCATGGTTATTTATTTTAAAAAGTTTTGTGCCATTTGGAGTACATGGGAACTTTTCTTCTAATACCTTAACAATTTCTTAGTTTCTTTGGCTAATTCTGTGAGAGTGCAGAGTTTTTCAGAAACAAAAGAGCACTGATGTTGTGGGAAAGTCTCTAAATTGATACATAAGGTGTTAAAGGTAATTCAAAGGAAGAGGTTTTGTTACAGGAATGTTGGATGAATAAACCACTCATCAAAACTGGAGCAAATACACTTGGGGAAACCAGTTAGGTGAGATTCTGTAGGTTTTTCTGTAAGTAATAGTGAAAGTGTTGCACTGTACTGCTCTGTATAGTTTAGACTATATAATAATTAGATTAAAATGTTTGATTAAATTATTAAAATATACAACAAACTGTTAAAAGAGATGTATTTTTCTATCTAGAAAACTGCTTTTGCATATGTTTTATCTATTTACAGTGTTTAGCTGTCATTAGCAGGAGGGTAGTACATTTTTAAGTATCAAAATGTACTGTGGTGACCAGAGTGTGCTGTTAGTAGTTGGATCTTTTAAGAATCTTCAGCTTTCTGCTGATGTTGTAGTTACTTGTGAAAAGGTAATGGACAAGAACAAATATAAATGTTGTAAGGGAAACAGGTCAAAGGGAATCATTTAAGATTTTAAAGGGAATTTGGACAGAATCACTGTTTTACGGCTGATCACTGAGACGGCCAGCGATTCATTGAACGAGCCGTATAACATCAACTCTGCAATGGTTATTTATATCCAAAATATAGTGAAAACACTATTAATTAGCACAGTAACAAGATCGGCAGTTTAAGACATTAACTTGTGAGCACAAAACACAAGATACTTCTCTTTTCAATATAAATAAGGCTTTATTGGATAAATCTAAGACATATAAACTAATCTAACACATAAACACACGCATTCACACAAGTTGCAGAAAGAGAGAAAGTGAGGAAATAATGAGTTTAAGAGAATGAAATGTGAAATCCCAAGTTTACAGCAATATGTGCAATTGCATAGATCTGAACAACCATCAATCACTTAATTAACCCTCGCATTGAGTTCCTCAATGAGGTTAAAATTTATATTAAATGCACCAGTTCAGCTAGGATCTGGAGGTACTTGCGTTGCGTTGCCTGTACGGGGGTTCCCTTTGTAAAATTGACAATCTCCTTCCTGAGTTGTTATGATCAGTGTGTTCCTTTTGTGTTAATGTTGAAAGCTTTTCTGTGAAAGAGTTGGTTAGGCTTGCTTCAGACTGGCTAGTGCTAGGGTCTGATTTATGAACATCCTGTTGTCTTGGGCCTCTGTGGAATTCGGCTCCTCATGTTTCAACCATGTTTTGACCAAATCTTAGATTGTCTGATTCGGTCTGATATCCTACGATGTGTATTAGTGTAAGCACTGCTATACTAATCCAGTGCTATTCATTGGTTTGATCATTAGTGGACTAAATGAAACCTTAAACTTCAGTTGAAAGAAACCTGTTACCCCATAGACCAGATCACATGACCTTCTGTAACTCTTGAGTATGTTCTCAGATATCTGAACAATTTATTGCATGACATAATTCAGATGCTTTTATTAACTTGCAGTGTGATTTTTAAAATTCCTGACTGACAATTGGATTTAATCGGTGATGCCACTGAATTTTGCTGCTTGTTGATCCACTTGACCTTCATGTGTTCTTTGAGTCAAGTGTGTGAACTGTTGTTGTATTCTCTAAATGTAAGCTTACCTGTAAGGCCAGGTAACATGACACTGAACCGACAGATTGCTAAACCTTTAACAGCTTTCCCTTTTCATTCCATTATCTTTAAGTACACAATCTTCCACTTGGTTAGCTCTCTTTCATGTCAAATAATCAAATCCCTATTTTTTTCCCCTTCCTTTCCCCATCTGGTGGCTTTCTTTCCTTTGCTCATCTGATCCTGTTTTGCTGGCCTCCTGTGATGTAGATTTATCAGGTGCAGAAGGTAGGACATCTGATGCTGAAGATCTACTCTACACACTCATGTACAAAAACTCACTGGGGCGGTACCCTTTCAGATGGTACATCTTTGTATCTTATTTACCTCTAAAGCAGGGATGTCAAACTCAATTTGTGGAGGGCCTGCAGAATTTAGATTCAACCCTAATTAAACACACCTGATCCAACTAATCAAGTCATTCAGGCTTATTTGAAAACTACATGGTATGTGTGTTGGAGCAGGGTTGGAACATAACTCTGCAGGGCTCCGGCGTTCCAATAATTGAGTTTGACACCCCTGCTCTAAAGGGTGCATATTATGGCGCTTTTCCACTGCATGGTACGGCTCGGTACGGTTCACTTTTGGGGGGTTTTCCACTGGGTACAGTACCTGGTACTTTTTTTAGTACCTCCTCGGTTGAGGTTCCAAATGAAACGTACCGTTACCAAAACGTGACGTGTAAACCCTGCTGATCATGGATTGGCCGGAGAGAATCGTCACAACCTGCGTCAATGAACTTGCGACAGGCAGTGGAAAAGCACCATTAGTACCTTTTGAAAGGGTACCACCCCAGTGGTACCATTTCTTTGGCCATATTTTAATTCCTTTTCTTCTGGTGTTGCTTATTTAGCTGTTTCTGTTCTCTTCATGATTTTTTTTTTCTTAGGTTTTAGCTTCTTGACCTTTTTTTCTTTTTCACAATCTCTGGACATCACTGATCCATATTAATTTATCCTTCTAATATCAAATTCTATTAGTCTAATTTAATTATCTTTATATTATTCTTGTTACCTGAACTCCCCTTATTTTTTCTCTGCTGGGTTCTGCTGCATTTCTCTTTTCAGAAATATTATGGACTGGATAACCTGGACAACAAATGGGGGAATATTGAGCAGTGGATGGTACATTCACTGTTGAGATTTTGTGCTTTTTCTAGGCCTCTAGTTTCATCAGCATGTGATTTTTGACATGATAGGGATCCATTGCGATACAAGACGCGTTCATGTTCTGTTTGTTAATAATTTACAGAGTTTTGATGTTGGATATCAGGGTTGTGTGTCTCAACACTAGGTCAATAACTCTACATAGCTGATTTGCATTTTCACAAGTTGTCAACAAATGAAATAAGCCATTGTTCATCTGTTTACTGGCATTGTAGATATTTTAATGTACCCTAACATTCAAAAGTTTGGGATCAATAAGATTGTTTTAAATGATTTTGAAAGAAGTCTTATTATGCTTACCAAGGCTGCATTTATTGATTAAAACAATATGGTAAAAACAGTAATATTGTGGAATATTAGAATTACATTTTTTTATTATTATTTTAAAATGTAATTTTGTGATAGCAAAGCTATTTAATTACAGCAGCCATTACTCCAGTTTTCAGTGTTACATGATCCTTCAGGAAGCATTCTAATATGCCAAATTAATGCTCAAGAAACATTTCTTATTAGCAATGTTTAAAAATATATTTTTGTATATTTTTATATATATTATTTTTTTAAATTGATGAACAAAGTTCAAAAGAATAATATAGATTTAAAAAGGAAAACTTTTGTAACATTATAAATGTCTTTACTGTCACTTTTGATCAATTTAATGCATCCTTGCTGAATAAAAGTAAAAATAAAATCTTACTGACCCCAAGAATGTCAATGTATTACAGCTTTTCACATTATTTTACAAAATGTGAAAAAAATTGTGCATTTTGTCTTGAGTTTTTGGTTTGCCTGTTTTTAACATGATTGCTCTTGCATCAGTTATTACTGATTTGCATGCTGTCTTTGCATACACTGCCACTGCTCAACCTTGCTTGCTGAGTGTTGTGTATCTGTCTCTTTTGACATCTTGCTTATTCCTCTCCTCTCCTCCCTCCTGCTCTCCTCTCCTCTCCTCTCCTCTCCTCCCTCCTGCTCTCCTCTCCTCCCTCCTGCTCTCCTCTCCTCTCCTCTACTCTCCTCCCTCCTGCTCTCCTCTCCCCCCTCCCTCTCCTCTCCTCTCCTCTCCTCTCCTCTCCTCTCCTCTCCTCTCCTCTCCTCTCCTCTCCTCTCCTCTCCTCTCCTCTCCTCTCCTCTCCTCTCCTCTCCTCTCCTCTCCTCTCCTCTCCTCTCCTCTCCCTGCTCTCCTTCTCCTCTCCTCTCCTCTCCTCTCCTCAGGAGGACAGTGAGCGATATACACGTATCTCACGTATCTCACGTTCGGTTTGTATCTCTGTCTTTTAACTGTCTGTCCTCCTAAACCTTCCATAAACACTTCTCTAGCAAAACACTTCACAACAAGTTTGTTCTTCAGAAAAAAAAAAAACACTTGGATTTTATTCCAAACGAAAATACTTTGTCAGACTCATTTTGGGGCTCACTGTTCAGACTGATATGCTGTTTATGTGCACAGTGGTGAATTTTAAGTCTTTAAGCTCTTGCTAGCTGTGGAGTACATCTAATTTTGCCTTTTTTTCTCATCCATCAAGGTGTCAGATGATGAAGAACGGATGTCAGTGGGGAGCAGGAGCAACATACAGGTCAGTATCGGTGTAACTGTGTAGTTCCTTTCAAACCTTCTGTGCTGTTGGTCGGAGTGTTTGGTGTAGGTGTATATGAGTGTGTGCTTGCTATGTGCTGTCTAAGGTTATAAAACAGCCCAAAATGTTCTTCATGCTGATGGTGGTTTTGTTTGTCTGGGCAGTTGGATTTGGATGCGGCGGGTGCTTACGGCGGGGTAAGAATCTCAGGGCGGGAAATGTTTCTTTGGGCACGAATGTTATGTCATTACTTTCAGGTTCCTGTTAAAGTAAAATGAGCACATAATTGAGTTCACAAGACGTTTTTGTTTTTGCACTGTGGTGTGTTTTAGCTAAATAAGCTAATACCTGATGCTACATTTGTGACGTTTTGAATTGTTTCATCAACATTACAAAAAAAGGGGGTGTGGTCTGTACTCTGGATTTTATCGGATATGACCACATGTGACTAACATTTTTGTTATGTCTCAGAAGTGTCTGAATCTTCACCTGCATGTTCACAACTATGAAGTATTGAGCAGTTAATTCTGCAGTTTTAATCCTGCTTCCATTTCCCACCATCCTGTCCAGCTTCCCCAGGCCTCCTCCTATCAGTCACATAAGAAGTCCAAGAAAAAGAAGAAACATTCTTCCAAAACCGTACGTTCACAGCACTTATGCACGTCACATTTGTGTTGTGTAACAAGAAGATGTAATATCAATCATGGCTTGTCTATCCCACAGAGCAATGGCTATGACGATGATCTCAGCACATTGTCTAGTCGGGTTAGTGACCCAAATAACTGTGTGATGACTGATGATGGTGATTGAGTATTAACTAGTGTGTTGGTTCACCTATAATGACATCCAAGAGGCTGTTAATTTAGATGGATATGTGAGGATCATGATGCAGTAGTGTGACTAACTGTGGTGTGACGTGGTACAGATGAGTGTGAAGATTGTAAACTGAACTCTGTGTATTTGTGCGCAGAGCTCCAGACTCAGTGATGAGAGCAAAATGTCTCGCTCCTCTAGAATTGATCAGCAGTCGGTGGGTCTCAATCTGGCATCTCTTTGGGTGCTTTCACACCTGGACTGTTGTTTCGGAACTTGGTGCGTTTCCCCCCCTTAGCTCGGTTCGTTTGGGCATATGTGAACACGACAATCGCGCTCGGATCCGCGCCAAAACAATCGGTCCGAGATCGCCTGAACGAGGTGGTCTGGGCTCGATTGAAAACGAACTCTAGAGCGATTCGGTTGTAGTGAGAAAGCAATCTGATCCAACGGACCAACGAACCAGGCTATATCACAATTTATGATGGGTAATTACGTAAGTTCCGTGAAAAGCATTAGCTTTGTTGTTTTGCTAATACCTCAAAATGAACCTGTGAATGTCTGTGGGTGAGC